TTCAAGTATATGATGGATTCTCTCCAATATTTTCCACTACATATGTTAGAATAATTTCTCCCCTGCTTCAATATCTGCGTGACATCATCATCTCCTAATTAGTGTTGACGACATTGAGTTCGATGCTACCTTAAATTATTATCCTCACCAGCTATAGGAAATTCCAGTTGGGTAGTTTTGATCGTTGTAATTTTGGAAGGCATCGCAGTAAACCAGAATATTCTAGATTTCAGGATGGGTTAGTGTTCGTGGCGTGTATAGAAACTAGAAAGGGGCGTTTTCGCGGGTTAAACCTCGGTACTAAGGTCATATTTGGGATTAAGACGACGCTCAAGTGGCTGCACACCCCGCGATAGTAGCAAGAAGTAAAGGGGCGAAGGTTGCTAACCCCCAAGTCTTACCATTATCTTAACAAATCTAATCTTGTGGTGGGTGTTTATAAACGTCTTGTTTATCAACGGATTGTCAGAATAGGAATAAACTCGAGCTGGAGGATTTTTATGCACTAAAGGGATTCATGTAGGGGCCTTGAATAATGATATTTAGCATTAAATTCTACTTGAGTTTAGTATAAAGGATCACTTGGAAGATACTTTAGTTTATTTTTTATCCAGTTTATATCATTTAATCTTACTTTAATTAATCATTTTTACATTTTGATTTAAAAGAGATTAGTTGAACATTTGGATCATATCTAAAAAAAATGTTTTGATTCGATTATTTCTTTAGGATTAACGATGTTTTTGTTTAGAAGAAAATCAGTTGTTTAATCACTTAATAATTGTCACGAACGACCAAGATCAGATACATAAAAAATTTGTGTTTTTGTTTCTTCTTCAAATAATATTAAGAGCCAGATAGAACTTCGACGTCAGCCTGTAGTCGATACCTTGTTTGATAATTAATAATAAGTGCATCAAAACAATACGTAGCAGCCAAAAACATTTGTTCATACTGTGGCCATATAAAAATCTACCTAAACGTGAAATCCAGTTAGTTAGTTGCAATAAAGAGAACTGCTGACACTAGGTTACTGCTACTCTACTGACGCCGGCTGCGTAGGACATAAGTGTGAGTACTCGAAGTAATTATCAAATTAAAATCTCTGATATTCAAATAATAAAATCAAATATGATTAAACTGTAAATAATTTCTGAAATTGAATCTCAAACTATCAGAACTACTAGAATGATACGTTTTACAACCTGTTATAAGCTGACAAAGTTTGAAAAATAATCCTCCGATGATAATATCTGTAGAATTTTATTCTCACATTTTTGTTCTCTCTCTAAACACATCAAATATTGCAAAATCACGTTGCAACCTCCGGAGAAGTTTGCGAGAAAAGTCAATCCGCTTTGCCACCCAGTTGCTACTGTGTGTGGAGTCCGAGAGACTGTCGAGCAATAAACCGAGACTTCTCTTTGCAGCAAAGACCACCCTAGTTCCAACTCACCCCTCTGATGCTTTTCCTGCACCCTCAGAAGCTACTCCTCACTCCTCTCTCTGAGCACACGGCTGATTAAACGCGCAACTACGTAACCTAACGCAAATATACTGCCCCAGCCTCACTTTCAGCTTTCCTCCTTCTCATTTTATTTCCCTCTCACATTCCCATTCCCTTTCTTTTCTTCACAAGCTTTTCGATTCTACCTTTCGTCGCTCTTTGAATCATGAGACTCCAATGAGCTCCGGTCACTTGACAGAAATATTTATCGAGGGTCTCTTTACTATCTCATTCCTCAGTTTGCTATAGACAACCTATCTCTCTTGAAACCACCGCCCTTCGATCTTCCTTGCTTCTATCATCCCTCGACGAATTGGACGTCGTCACGTCGCGAACTACGCGATACCCGCGCGTTCTTCTTTGATCCCTACCTCCTCCTATACCTCACTAGTTTGTTCGACTCGAATTATTTGCCCTCTTAATTACATTTTGATCCGGACTGAAGTCTATCCAATAAATCCTGCCTTCATTTCAGTTTCTCAATGAAAAATAGGAGAATGAAAAACAACCAGTTAATCATATACCTTAAATTAACTAACTTGTTTTTTAGTGTGTCTTTTGTTGTCCTACTTTTTAGGTCCATTTTACCTAACATGTTTTATGCACACTTTAATTTTATTATATATTATAATTCAGTTATTTTCAGTTACTTTGAACCGATAAATAAAATATTGTTACTGTAAAAGGGAAATTTAAAATGACTAAATTGAAAATCTAACCCATTCTACAATAACTTTTAAATGAAAAGGTAATAGATTATTTGAGAGTTAGTCTATACAATTAAATTTTTTAATGAATAGGGAAATATATTGAGTTGAAAAAAAAATATGGTACTTTAATTACTATAATTTCAAGTTTGAAAAATAGTAGATATAATCACTGTTAATTGGCTTGCTCACATATTCAAGTAAAAATGATTTATAAATTATTGCAAAAATTTAAGAAACATTTTGATGAATCAATTGTAAATCATCAAATCTAACGAAATCAGTCATATGCCAGTTGAATGTCTGACAGATATTAAAATAACTTATCAAACACTCAATCGAAATGAGAGATCACTTACATTTTATTTTTGTGAACGACATCATATAAAAATTCAAACTATAAAGTTTCATGAACATGGTTCGTTTAATGTTGTTAATTATTAAGATATCGTTAAAGTTTGTTTTCTATTGAACAATAAGTAATTGTGATGGTTTTAATACAGTAGAAGGTTTCATGATACTGTAGAGCACTACAAACACATTAGTTTTCACTCTATGAATCTTGATGATGCACAAAGATATTAAAAAATTTTTAATTCAAATCGGAATGCTTAACTCCAATCAGTTTTTCGAATTTTTTTCTCAATATTTATCATTATTGTACATTTCAATTATTAAAAATTATCAATAATTTTTTTTTGCAAATTGTATTGTGATTTTATAGCTAAGCAACATCAATTACTTTACAGAAGCCGTAGTTAAATTATTTTAGTCAAATTCGTTATTAAATAGAATTGCATTTTTTGTTAACTTGAGCCACAAAAATTAAACTGTTCAGATTGTCCCGCAAAGTGGAGGGCCACTCGCTGCGCTGTGGCGCACCTTTAATCAAGGAAAAAAATGTAATATAAGCCAAGGGGAGTAGAGAAAAAAACTAGAGACTGCATGACAGGCAGTCGTGAGGGTAAGCGAGAGACAAAGAGGGAAAAGATATAAAGAGAGGATGCTGAGAAGAGTAGAGAACAGGGGGTTGACTCGAGCCACCGTGGCCACAGAGGGAACGGAACAAAGGAAGTTATCGCCCTGGAATTTTTATGCCGACGAGACTCGAGGAATGCAAATCACGCAGTACTTTTTTCTCTTTTTCTTTCTACTTTCAGCATTTCATTGTCTTTTTTTTCAACTAACGCAATCAAATCACAAGGATTTCCACCTGAAATTACATCATTTTCAACATAGCCAAACATCAAAAACTCTCATCTTATTCTTTTTTATCTTGTTTGCATTTTAAAAAAACAATTGTAAACAGGATCCATCGAATTTTAACAACTCTTTTTCTTTCAGAAATATTTTTTTCATGTCATTGTTGATGTACAACAAGCAAACCACTAAGGTTGAAGTCGTCAATTTACACATTACCTCTGTGATTAACATTCTAAGCACTTTTACATACCCTTACCCTTTCAAGCTTAAAATAATTCATTTTTATGCACTTTAAAGTGCCTAAAAATGATTGAATTAATTCATACAACTTATGTGCATTAAAATAAAATACTTCGATTTGCACTAAGTGCATTTCAAATGTATCGAAATCGTATATATGATGTCATAATTATATATTTCTACCATAATAAAATTACACATTTTCTATTAATAAGCTGTCAATAAAAATACATTTAAACATATGTAAGAATTAGCTAAAAAGTGTGTGTAATTATTCGATAATATTTAATATCAGACAAACCATAGTATGCATGAAACTTTTTACTTTACATACATTTCTATCTGTAGTGCAACAAACTCACGTTATTAACTTTCTAGGGTATTCAAGTTAAAAAAATTCGTGAACCATGAACGATAAGTGCAGTAATTTATTTTTACCATGGACATAGCACAAGTTATATATTCCAACTCGTAAATTATATTTTTCAAGTTAACTGAAATATAATACAAATAAATTTAATTAATGTCCAAGGATCTACTAAATTGGTATTATCATTCAATCATTCCTAATCATTGGATCAATGCTACTTATGGTAGCCAATGATGGACTCATTGTATAACCTTTCTCAGAATGTTACAAATGAATTATACATATCTTTCAATCAATTTTTACACTCTCCAAAGTGTGTTAATTTCTGTAGTTTTATTTCTCTAAGAGTTCAATAATCATTTCATACTTTTATGCATTTTTTTTAGTATGTTCTTTAGTTTGTGACATTATTACTGATATTTTATTTATCTCTGATGTTTTTACTTTAATCAGAGTAACTAGGATTACTAAAGAATTAACATCTTTAATTTTCAGTCATTGATAACGTAATTATTTATAAGTTATTAAAATGTCACGTGCTACTCTAGGAACAAGAGTATTTTTTTTTATTTTGTAAACAGTAAAAAAAGTTTATCATCAATGAATTCATAGTCACAAAGCCAACAAAAATAGAGACATAAAAAGCGTCGCGTGCCAGTGATAGGGGTTGTTAGATGAATCGAATGGTTGTAAATCAGGGAAAGAGTGATAACTCACGCAGTGATTCGCGTTGGAGAGCAAGTGAAGCGCGAGGTTGCTCTCGTGAGGCCAGGTAGTAGGTAGGTTTCTACCTGTTGCACGATTCCGTTCAACGCAAGAGCAATGAGGGAAACGGGAAACGATAAAAATTCCAGATAGGGAAACGGCTCGAGGGTAAATCAATCGTTCGGATTGAGTGAAAGCTCAAATTCCCTTTAAAAAATATATTTTTTTATTTATTTCACTTACTTTTACGTTTTGTTCTCTTTTCTAGGTGGATGAAAGAGACAGATCGCCTGGTTTATCGATGCGACCTACACCTGTCGCTATCACTGCTCCGTCCAGTCCTGAGGAACCTGTTACACTGTAAGTAGTTTCACTTGATTTTTTTTTTTAAATCTAGAACTTTTTTCTTTGGTTTTAACTTTAACTTTGAATTAAAGAATAAATAATCATTTAACGATGACAAGTGTGAGTTATTGAATTAATAAATGTTTTTCATTCTTTTAAATTCAAATTACTTAGTATCTGAATTATTTTATTGAATGTAATGTGCAAATTAAATGAATTTGGTTTATTTAATTAATATAGCTATAGTAGGTTATTTTAATTTTAATTTTATTTTTTTATCTTTAAATTCAAGTGATTTTAGAACAAATCTCGTGGAATAGCACTCGAAAAAGCCACTCAGACAAATTAGTCAAGTCAACCCTCGAAGTGCGTGTTCCTCTCACCCTCTTCCACCCCTTTGAGTTTCCCGTATTGTTCTTACGCTTAGGTCGCTTGTTCTCGGGTGTGGGTTATTTATGCTGGTTTTTTATTACGCTTTAGTACTAAGAACAGAATGGAAACAATATGTCAACCCCCTCAGAGGGCGTAGCAAGGATGAGGGTAAGTTCTTGTAGGTAACTTGCCTGCCACCTAACGCTAATATCATCGCCATCAACTTGCTTCTCTACTTGGAGAAATTCAGAGGCGCTGAAGTCATGATTTTAAACTAGACCATCTGCATAAATTTGATTTATTGCTGTTATTAATAATAAATCAACATCTGACGCAAAAAAAAATAATAATAAAAATATAAAGAAGAGATGTTGAATTTTTTTCCGGATTAAAATTAATAATCAACAATGTCGGGTGGAAAGATTTTTTTTGTTTAATTTTTTCAGTCATTCAATTTTCTTTTCATTACTAATACATAAATTCTAATATTGATTACTAAAAAATATATTTTTAATAAACTTAATGAACTTTATATGCATTTAAAGTTTTTAGTAAAATTCGCTAGTTCTTGGATGATAGACAAATTTTTTTATGTAGTTATCAAAACAAAAAATGTCCAACACATAACAACAATTAAATTGATATATTAATAAATAAATACTGAATAGACATTGTTGTTATTTTTATTATTATTTTGAAAGTCCATCGGAAAGTTTTTTGGATCATTTTATTGTTTAATTCTGAAGAATAATATGGGTCAGTTTTGAAAACAAGAAAAAATGTCATTTCACACTTATTTAAGAATGTTAGTAAATATTTAAAGTTATTAATCCTAAAATACGACATTTAATAAAAGCTTTATCTACAGAATTTAGATCGTAAGTCTTGTTAACCAGATTGAAGCATAAAAAATTAATGATCAACTGAAAAATTGATTATTCTTGTAATTGAAAGAATAAAATGGATAGAATGACATAAATCCAAATGAACATTGATTTCACGACACTCTGAGAGGTATATAGAGAGGGTAAGATATCTTTACAAGGTGGTCGAAGAAAATGAAGGCTTGTAAAAAGGGCAAAGGCCATAAGTAACAGGCCGTCTGGTAGAAAATGCTCCAGGGCGAGCAGTGATTTAGAGAAATTAAAACTTTAATTCATGTTGGGGTTCGTAAGGGCGCATTTTCACCCTTAAAACCACCCTCAAGTCGTCTTCGGAGTCCTTCTCATGCACCCCATCGAGAGAAAACTCTGGTGAAACCGCGCGCGTGGATACTGCCAACCCTTGGGTAAATAAAACCAAGCCTCGTTCTCACTGACAGATTCTGGTTTCCTTTCTAACTCCACTTTTTTCTTTCTTTTGCCTGTGAGCTCTAATAAAGCATCTAGAACTGGAAGACCAGTAGTCATCTACCTTCTATGATCTATAGGTTCAAATAAATCACAAGCCCACAGTGGAAAAAAAATATTTCAAGAAAAAAAAGTTTCAAACTTTTTCTTTTTTACTTTGGTCGTTTTTACTCAAAAAATTTCAGCCACTGAATTATTTGGCTCTCTTTGTCTTTCTTTAGTTATTTTGAAACATGTCATAATGTCACTAGACAGTTGATGTGAAAACTTTGAAAATAGATTCAATTTTTCATGTTTTTATCTTGAGATAAGTTTGAAAAGTAAATAAAAGATGATGGTTAATGTTTTCAAAAATATTAGGGTACATTTTATAAGCAATAAGTAAATAAGACATTCAGTAATTTCACACATAATAGATAGAATCTATGAAAATATCGACAATTTTAATGAGCCAGTAATAAGTAATCTCCTGATGGAGAAAAATTATCAGTAATTATTTCGGTAATGATGTACATTTTATTATCGAGCTTTTAAAAAATGCTTCAATATATTTTCTCTTTTTAACTAATTAATAAATATTATTAAAGCTTCATTTTAAAGTCTTAAATTAATTTCTTGTCAATTTTTAAATTTATTATACTAAAGCTTCAAATGTTTTTTTCAAAAATTTTTTAATTCATCTTTTCGTCTGTTTAGTTATAAAATAAGTTTGCAATTTATTCAATATATCTGATAAATATTCCACTAGTACGAGAATTCATTGTAGAATAATTTATGAAAAACATTTTTGTGCTCAAGGGTTCATGGAAAAAGCATCGTATTCGAAGAACGTATGCTTTGGCTCACGTTCTGACCATTACAGGCCATATCTACTAGATGACCACATAGGGGAGCCGCCTTACAATCTCTGGGACTCTACAAGCATAGTTGATTTAAAGGGACATGCATTTTAAAGCTTTCTCCAAAGTTGGTCAATTTTCTATAACCCTATTTGCACATTGAACAAATAAAAATTCAGTACGGTTCAATAAAATAGATATTAAAGTGCTCAAGAGTTCAAAAATGAACGCTTATTTTTCATTGGTCATCCACATTATTTGTGGTACATTAAAAAAAGATTAACTTTCCAACGGACACAGTTTCTGTATAGTTTAAATGCGAATTTATGATTTGGTGATAAATTTCAAAAATAATGTTGAGATCACGTTAGAGATCCCTTCTCTCTTTCTCTCACTTTGAGCCCCTCGGCATCGCTTTTAGGGCGGAATCCGCCCCCCAATAAATTCCTATCACCAGGTATACGCCTTTACTTCGTAAATCATTGCGTAAGTGAATCCGAATTGAATTGAATGAGTAAATATGGCTCGCTACTAATAAAAAAAATATACATTGTATGTTTTCTCATCTTTTTGTTATGGAAATAAATAGCCTCGGATAGAAATTATATGGTTTATGACGAATATAATTCAAGTGTTGGCAATTTTATTTGTGTAAAGTATAAGATCATGTTTTTTGTTTAATTGTTCATTGATCAATTGAACCAATTAACAAGTTCACAGCAATATTGTAGGGTCATGTTTTTTGATTGGCGAATCTTAACAAACATTTTGATTAATAATCAATCAACAATTAAAGTTTGTTAAAACTCTATACATTCGTTTATGTTAATTTTACTGGGATTTTGCCAAAATTAAGTTTTGTTGTTTACATCTCTAAATATTAACTTAAAGAAAAATATTATTACACCTTTAAAGAAATAGAATCAAAAGGTAGGATTATCAAGTTGTATGAGAACAACTTGACAATTTATATTTTTAAGTTTTATTTATTTTTAATTTATAACTCAAATTGGTTAATGAATATAAAATATTTTCTTGTTTTCAACAATTAATTAATTAATGCAGTTTTGAAATATTATGCAAATAATTTTTATATTAATAAAAGTTATAACTAATAATAAATAGTTAATTTTTTGTTAATAAAACGATTGAATTAAGACAAAGATATTTTTTCCTTTTATCATGACCCTTTTATTATGGGTTTGGCATGAGAACTTTAAGCCAATGGAAATGCATAAATACATGAGCACAAAGCGAATTCAGACATGAACAAGCTTACGAATCGCACATGTTCGTCTTTCTCACTGTTTCTCTTTTTCTCGAGGATACGTAATAACACCAGGACATCTATGGCGTTGGAAATGCGAGTTTTCGAAGCATTATCTCTCTACCCTCCATGAAATTTTCGGTATCTCTTTCCAGTATTTTCTCTGAAGGGATTACTCGATCTAAGGCCAAGCATACTGTTATATTTCTAAATTTTTATTTTTTATCTTATTTTTTTGTACATAGTTGGGTTTTGGAAAAGGGTGGTTTACCTCATAGGGTGCTAGACACTGGAGAATTCAAGGCTTCTGCCTCTTCACTGGCCACAATAATGTCAGCTGCAAGTAATTAACCTTCCAAGTATCTAAAATATTTCAAGAAACATGCTGACCATATTAATCTTGGAAAACAGGAGAATAGAAAACATTTATAAACAGGGGTGTACAGAAAAATTTATAGGACTATTTTTCATTTCTTTTTACATTCTTTTCAAGTACAATTACATTAATGTTTATAAAAAAAAAAAGAACAATTAATTTTTTTTAACATGGTAAAATAAATATTATCATAAAAAATTGGTTCATTATTTGTCGTTCCTAAACGTTAAGCTTTTTAATTAAAAAAAGATGAAATAAATATAAACATAATAAAAGAGCCTAAGCATATTTATTTAGTTTATAAATAATAATAATAATTAATGATTTGAACAAAGTTTCTTAAAATGTTGATTTATAAATGAAAATCTCAAGCATTAAGAATTAAGTCAAAACATAGAAGAAAAAAAAATAACCATAATTCTAGTAGTTCTAATGCGAATGTTCCTGGAGATCCGTATTCCTAAGGATTAGTGTCACACGAGTAATTACGTAGCACTGAGAGCTTGCAGAAGAGAGGGTTATTCTTGTAGAAGAGCTGCAATACAGTTTACTTGCGTTGCTGCTGTCTCAGCTTAAAGCAGAATGAACAGTTGCTTCGTTGCTCCACTATTCCCTTATTGTATTCCCTCTTTGTCTTTCCGTTTCTCACGATCTACTTCTCCGTTGCTTCGTTTTACTCCCAAAACCAGAGCTAATAAAAGCCCACAATTACCTCCGGTTTGGGCCATTTGTCTTGACGGCTCGTCTCATGCCCGATATAATTCACCCTGGCAACAACACATTGTTGCCTAATGAGGTGTAAAACATTCCAA